GTGTGTTTGTATGTATATATGTACATGTGTACGTGTGTGTGCGCGTGTGTGTGTGGGGGCGGGGGGAGGGGTGCAGTGTTTGCATGCACGGTAACCAAAAGTGTTGATGAGATATATGTACATGTGTGCACATGTGTGGCCAGCGTGTGAACATGGTCAGGATAAAAAGTAAGAGTATTTTTTTAAAATTTAGTTGAGTTTTTTACGGCGCTCACAAATGCATAAGGTCATATTAGCGCCAAGGGGTGGATGTCAACAGAGAAGACCTTACAGGGAATCAGACTTACTCTGCTCTCTTCTCTAGCTTCAACAGCACAAAGTCTGCTTCGACTATCAAGGCACCCCGGAAATAGTGGATCACAAGAGTGTGACAAATATACAAAGGAAGTAGAGGAAAAATGACAGTAAAGATTAGGAAAGAAAAAGCAGCAGTTCCCTGTTGTAGATCAGGCAGTCATGAGCGTGACATGATGAATCAGCTTATTTACAATTTTGCTGTACATGAACGAGAAATGTCCCCCCTTTGGGAATGGCCTAAAGACACCAGTCAGTGGCACTGCCCTGGGAGGTGAAAGTAAGTGTATGGGTGTGTCTGAGCATGTGGTCAGTGCATATGTACATGGTCTGAGCATGTGGTCAGTGCATATGTACATGGTCTGAGCATGTGGTCAGTGCATATGTACATGGTCTGACCATGTGGTCAGTGCATATGTACATGGTCTGAGCATGTGGTCAGTGCATATGTACATGGTCTGAGCATGTGGTCAGTGCATATGTACATGGTCTGAGCATGTGGTCAGTGCATATGTACATGGTCTGAGCATGTGGTCAGTGCATATGTACATGGTCTGAGCATGTGGTCAGTGCATATGTACATGGTCTGAGCATGTGGTCAGTGCATATGTACATGGTCTGAGCATGTAGTCAGTGCATATGTACATGGTCTGAGCATGTGGTCAGTGCATATGCACATGGTCTGAGCATGTAGTCAGTGCATATGTACATGGTCTGAGCATATGGTCAGTGCGCGTGTGGTCAGCGTGTGTTTGGTCAGCGCGTACCTTTGTTGAACTTGTCTCTGACACTCCTCAGGAACCCCGGGCCGCTGGTTTTCTTGCCCTTGCTGCCCGCCGCCTCCTCCCCGTCACCTCCCACCTCCTGGGGGAAGTAGCACACACAATGGTTATTGAGTCATCAACACATTTGTCTGTCAAACACATCGTCATCAACACATTTGTCTGTCAAACACATCGTCATCAACACATTTGTCTGTCAAACACATCGTCATCAACACATTTGTCTGTCAAACACATCGTCATCAACACATTTGTCTGTCAAACACATCGTCATCAACACATTTGTCTGTCAAACACATCGTCATCAACACATTTGTCTGTCAAACACAACGTCATCAACACATTTGTCTGTCAAGCACATCAGCATCAACACATTTGTCTGTCAAACACATTGTCATCAACACATTTGTCTGTCAAACATATCGTCATCAACACATTTGTCTGTCAAACACAACGTCATCAACACATTTGTCTGTCAAACACATCGTCATCAACACATTTGTCTGTCAAGCACATCAGCATCAACAAAATTGTCTTTTTAGTTTTAGTAGAGGTTTTATGGCGCTTGCAACACAATAAGGTCATAAAAGTGCGGAAGATTAGAGGTGTTACAAGAGAGTAAAAAACAAAAAAAAAGAAGACGAGGAGAAAAAGACGATAAATGTTTGAAAGGAAAGAAGAAGCAAACCACACCACAGCACCCGCCATTCACAACCACCCACACACAATGTTTATTGAGTCATCAACACAATTGTCTGTCAAAGAGATAGTCATCAACACATTAATTGATCAAACACATCATTTACAAAATGTGTGTGCAACGTGTTGTTAAAACAAAGCACTTGTCAAAAATAATTAAATCCAAGAAAACAATATTTTTCCGATGGTTGGGGAATTTTTAATGGAATTTCAACATCTTTTGAGTCCATTTAAAACATCTTTGAAAAATGCTGATCCAACATTGAAAAAAATTTAAAAAGCCGTTTCCAAGGAGAATTAAGCTTTGGAAATCAGATTTCTTCATCTTCATGAAATACCATTAAAAAATAAGGACGACTGAAATCACTGCTAGTATAAGATTGAGTAAACAGAGGCAACTCAACACAATAATGGTCAGTTAGTGCATGGATAAAGAAAGACAAACAGAAACAGCAAAGGGAAAGAAAAGAAGTAGGAACCTACAAGTGGCAGCCTCCGAATATCTACTAAAGTACCGATACATACACCAAGAAAAACAACAGAAGCACCAAAGTAACCTCCTCCACATCCGACTCCCTCCCCCCACACACTCCTCTCTTTCCCCCTTATTGTAATATATCCCTGTAATATTTGTTAAATGAGCAATAACTGTGTTTGGTTCACTATCGTAAATTGCTGTAGTTATGTCTCCTTGTTTGAATGTATTAATTTGGTACTCTTCAGGATGAGCAATTAAAGTTATGATTCAGTAGTGCCATAAACATCCAACATGGTCGGTTGCTGTTTTCAGTGTACAATTGTTGTGCTAGACTATCCGTGTGTATCTAACTTATTATGAAGCATCACACTTACCTTGTCTGTAGAGTACAGGGAAACATTGTCACCAGCTTGGTCTTTACTCGACGTGTTCAGCTTAAATGAGTTGGCAGATTGGCTGCTCCCGCTGCTGTCCTGGCGACGGTGTGTGCTGGAGGAGTCGCCCTCCGACCTTTTGACCTCGCCCTCGCCGTGACCTGTCTGCGAGTCGATCGCGTGAGCCTCCAGGCTATCGTCGTCTGCGTCCACGCTGATCAGCGAAGTGGAGTCGGCGAAGGTGATGCTGGTGAAGTCCTTGACGGCGTGTGCGGGGGACGACTCCGCCGGGGTGATTTCGCCAGACGGCTCGTCGTTGTCGCCCGAGAAAGTGTTGAGAAGGATGAGGGCGGAGGAGAGTCTCCGTTCGTCCAGGTTGGAAACCTGCTGCTGTGCCAGGCTCTCCTCACTGTCCGAGCCCTCCTCCCTCACATCCTCAATGACCGAGATCTTGGTGTAGATGTCCGTGACCTCGATCTGGGGCGTGCTACGCCGCAGCTTCCTGTTGCGATGCTTCAAGCTGGTTTCCGTTAACGGACAGTGACCCTTGACTCCACCATCCAGCCCCCCCTCGCCGGCCAGCTGCGAGCGATCTTTGACCCCCACGTCCACTAGTTCCCCCTCGCCGGCTAGTAGTGAGTGACCGTTGTTGTAGCCGCTGGTGGCTGCGGTGGCCGCCACGCTAAACGGGTCACCGACTGCCGACAGGGAGTTATGCGGGTGCTGAGGGGGGAGAACCGCGCCGAGACGAGGAGGGTTGTCACCTCCCTTCGTGTGGGGCGCAGCCACAGCGTGCGAGTGCTGCAGGTGGAACAACGGGTTCTCCATCTCGAGCGGGGGCGTGTTGCTGTCCACGGAGGAGGAGTTCCCTGTGCTGGACATGTAGGAGAGAGAGTGCAGGCCCGAGTCCGGGGTGGAGGTCATTCCCCCACCACCCCCCGCCCGCCCCTGCGCTTGGATGCGCTGCATGTTGGAGTCGAGCGACGCCCGGCCAGGCACGTGGCTGTTGTATCTGGGGGGTGAGAGGTTCGAGTCCAGGGAGGAGCGGGCAGCGATGAGTGCGGCGGGCGTGGGCTGGGGGCGGGATGAGCTCCCCGACATCTGACCGTTGGTCTTGACCCAGAGGTCGATGCCAGAGTCCCGTGACCCTGACCTTGCCTGACCCCCCGTGGGGGGCGTGGGGAGGTCGGAGGGCGGACCGCTGGAGGACGAAGAGGAGGAGGAACCGGTCACGTCCGGGCGGTGTAGTGGGTGTACCTCCCCGCCTGACGAGCCCGACGGCTGGGCGCGGGGTTCGAACCTCAGGGGCAGATCCACAGAACCTTGCTTGTGCCCCCTACCCCACGACTTCTCCTTGCCGCCGGCCCTGCTGTGATGCTTCACCCCTCCGGCCCCACCACCAGAGGACAAGGGATCAAACTCCAGACCCGCTGCCACATCATCTCCTCCTCCCCCTCCTCCACCACCACTGTGACTTCCCCTCCTTTCCGCCTCCGCTCTCCTCCTGCCCCCCTCCCTCGAGTCCCTCACTTTACTCCGAGCACCACCACCACCACCGGACGAAGTTTGAACCCCAGAAACACCAGATGGAGGCAGCAGGGCCGTGCTACCACCGCCCGAACCCTCCAGCGCATGCACGGTGGCATTAACCCTACCCTCGGCGTGCTTCAGCGACTGCGACGGAGGCCGGTGAATGCTGGGCAGCTGGAGGTTCGGACCCGACTGGAACTGAAACAGCATGTTGTTCCCTTTCCTGGAAGCTCCCCCTCTCTCCCCGGCTCCCCGCTCCCCGCCAGACTCCTCCCCGGACTTGCCAGAAGGTTCCGGGAACACCTCAGGGAAAGGTTCGTTGACCTCCCCGTGATGGGGGTCGCTGGACGATGAGTGACCGGTCTCCGCACCTCCCACGGCACACATGGGGTCCAGATCCACACAGTTCTCCTCACCTAGGGGAAGGTAAAGACATGTTTGTTTTAGTAAGGTTTTAGGGCGCTCGCAACTGCATAAGGTCATATGAGCGACAAGTGGTGGATGTCAACAGAGAAGTCCAAACAGGGAATCAGGCTTACTCTGCTCACCTCTCTAGCTTCAACAACACAAAGTCTGCTTCGACTATCAAGGCACCCCGGAAATAGCGGGTCACAAGAGTGTGACAAACATACAACAGAAGTAGAGGAAAATGACGATAGTAAGGATTAGGAATGAAAAAGCAGCAGTTCCTTGATGCAATTCAGGCCCAGTTATGAGCATGATATCGATGAATTAGCCCATTTACAATTCTACTGTGCATAAGAACAGGTTAATGCCCCCCCTTTGGGCATGGCCTAAAGACACTTCTGTCAGTAGCACTGATCAAGGGGTAGGGTATAGGGTTGTGGGGACAGGGTGGGGGGAAGAGGGGGGAGAGGGAGAAAAAGAGGGGGAAGAGGGTGGAGAAAGGGGAGGAAAAAGGGTTGTGGGAAGAGGGTGCGGGTGACAGGATTGAGTGGTGGGTAATTTCATTTTCATTTAGTTAAGAGTTTTTGTTTTGGTAAGTTTTACAATGCAACAAGGTCATAGAAGTGCCGAAGATTACAGGTGTTACAAGAGAGTAACAAACACATAATAGGAGGGGAGATAAGTTGTTTGTTTTAGTAGAGGTTTTACGGCGCTCGCAACTGCATGGTCATATGAGTGCCAGAAGATTAGAGGTGTTACAAGAGAGTAACAAACACAAAAAAGAAGAAGGGGAGATAAGGACGACAGATATTTGATAGGAAAGAAGAAGCAAACCACACCAGAGCACCCGCCAACCACCCACAGGGGAGATAAGGACGATAGATGTTTGGTAGGAAAGAAGGAGCAAACCACACCAGAGCACCAGCCAACCACCCACATTTAGTAAGAGTTTTACAGCACTTGCAATACAAATAGGTGATATAATTGTTGAAGATTAGAGGTGGTAGTCGAGAGTAAAAAGTAGAGGGTAAAATATTATTTTCCTAATAGTTTTACAGCACTCGCAACACAAATATGTCAAAAAAACTCCAAAGATTAGAGGCGTTACTAGGGAGTAACATTCATAGAAAAACAGGAGAAGAGATAAGGACGATAGACGTTTGATACAAAAGAAGGAGGAAACCACACCAGAGTGCCTGGAAAGCGTGTGTGTGTTGGGGGGGGTGAGAAGGAAATCATATGAAAAAGGCCAATCTTCCAGTCAACACACTAGTCAGACCAACGCAAACAGATTCCCAGCATTTTTTTTCTTTTTTTCCTTTTTTTGGTTTTTCTTGAAGCATAAGAATTATTATCAAACACGCTGACATATTTTTATGCAAATCACAAATATCCAACATCACATCAGGAGATGGGACCCAAAAAAGAGAAAAAAAAAGATTTTAAAAAACCTCCCTTCTCACAGTAGCAAAAGAAAAATGACCTCCATATCCCTCCTCACTCAAGTGAGCAAACTAGAAACAGTAGAAGAAAACACAAGGCAAAGCCAAGAATCAAACCCTTGAGCCTTCAAAATGCTAGGCTGTGGAGTTACCCAGCAGACGCCCACCATTCGAGGACTTACCCTCGTCATGTCCCAGAGAGCTGTCCCCCTCGTCTCTGTCTCCCACTCCACAGTTCAAGTCCTGGGAACAAAAACATGACACGGTTCAGTTGAATTTAAATTTTAGTAAGAGTTTGATAGAACTTGCAACACAATACGATAATACAAGTGCTATTTTTTTAAAGTAAACATTTTAGTTTTTAGTTTTAGTAAGAGTTTTACGGCGCTCGCAACTGCACAAGGTCATAAAAGTGCCGAAGAATAGAGGTGTTACAAGAGAGTAACAAACAAAAAACAGAAGGAGGAGTGATAAGGATGATAATTGTTTGATAGGAAAGAAGGAGCAGACCA